ACGTAAAATGACTGATCTACGTTCTAATATCAGCAATTTTAAGAAATATTTTGCGTTTGTAAAAGCTTTTGTTTTTTTTTAGAAAATATTACTACCCAGATGTAATTTTATGATGTTTTAGCGTTCTAATGTGTACACATGTATCTATATTATTGCAAATATCTCAGTTAGAAAAGCTGCTTACATCATGTCTGCAGGAAAATGCTCCCCATTATGTACTGTTTTAAAGAAATAAAACAGGACATTGGGGATGCTCAAGAGAAGATGCTGCTTTCTGAGTCTAAAGATCCCTCGTGACAACGTTGCATGGGAATCACTATGAAACAAGCTTAAGATGATTACGAGTAGCTCTAATTTACCCCTGAGGAAATCATCACTAGTGCTTTTGCTGCATTCCAGTGAAAAAAGGGGGGAGAACATGGTCGAAATGAAGACTCCAGAAATTATCTAGATTACGTCGCTCTATATGAGCTATCCATTTGATGCTAAAAGAAATCGAATTTGCGTAGGAGAATACATATTGTAAAACTTAATCTAAAAAACGTTGTGTCAAATGTTATATTACATTCCGTATTGTTATATACTTAACTGCTTATTGACATCAGGGAACTCTCAAAATAATGGTACCTAATAATAATATTACAAGTGAAAATAGATAAATAAGTGTTCAACTTGGTCGAGATTAGACACGTTCTGGATAAAATTATTTAGTTTCCTTTTTTAAACATTTTTTTATTGTATTGTAGCATGGAAAAGATTTAGGAGATGCTTTAAAACACAGTCACAGAACAGTTGTTGTTGTTCTGTTGATTATCAATTTGAACAGAGTAACATTACTTATTATGGTCGATGTAACGAAAAACAGAAACGCCTTAGCTCTTACCTTAAATGACAGTTGAGTCGATATACAATCTTCATGGTTTTCACTATTTTCGGTGATGTTCAGTAGTCAAGCTGTAGAATGAACATCAAAGTTCGGCCATCTTGGAACAGCAGCTTCTTGGTGGTTCGAAATGATGACGTCACATGTATGCAGAGGTGGGATACACTGCGCCACTCCAGAACTCCAATAGAAAAGCTCTATTAGTGGGAGTGGGCTCCGGTTGCCATTAGAGACACAGTAACCATGGTAACAAGAAAACATTGGATTTAGCGCATCGACGATGCCCGATCCGTGTGTAAAGATAGCTGGAGAAAAATTAAAGCAAACTAAGATGTGAATTATCTCTTCAAGAAGTGAGCTCTCATTAATAAAGGATCAAATGAAAATAATGACGTTGAGAACGTCAAATTGTAAGCATTTTTGGGGAGTGGGTGGGGGTTACAGATCTTTTTAACGTTTTTCTGCACATCTTTCAGCTGTCTACAGGATCAGGTTGTTCCTTTCTCACAATTATCTGTAGAGTCAGTAACAATGGTTTCGGTAGTCGAATGAATCGTGATGGTTATCATCTTTTGTTAGTATATGAGCTCAAAAACAATTAAAAGTTCGAGTCGAAAGGAAACTCGATTAAAAACAAGAAGTTTAAATCCCTCTAATTGCATCCTCAGATTGAACGGTATTCATTAACTAGAAATGACATTAAATACCGGAAATTCACGGTATCAAAAATAAATGAATAAATAAAATGGTCCCAAAGCCCAAACAGTGCTTACTTGAAAGATTTTGAAATCTGTCATTAGTATCGGAATTCATCGAAAACCATCAATATGAACTTGTACTTAAACTCCAGCGCAAACAGCCGAATAAGCAGAAGTAGACATAACAACTACAGAATTAAAATTAGAAAACTTAAGCAGAGAATTATTCTTATTGTTGTGCAATGTATCAAAATATTTAGTTTCTTCTGCTACTCTTACTGGCTGGGCCCGGCATGGCCAGGTGGTTAGGGAACTCGACTCGCAATCTGAGGGTCGCGGGTTCGAATCCCCGTCACACCAAACATGCTCGCCCTTTCAGCCGTGGAGGCGTTATAATGTGACGGACAATCCCACTATTCGTTGGTAAACCAGTAGCCCAAGAGTTGGGTGGTGATGACTAGCTGCCTTCCCTCTAGTCTTACACTGCTAAATTAGGGACGGCTAGCGCAGATAGCCCTCATGTAGCTTTGCGCAAAACTAAAAAAAACATAACTATAACATAACTGTATCTTACTGGCTAATTTTGCTTATAAGCCAATATTTAATGACAAAAACTAAATTAATTACTGCGATCACACAGGAGTAAAATATAATTACTGTAGTGTCCATTTAAAGGTTTGTTTCTGTTAGTGCAAAGCTACACAATAGGTTGTCTGTGATCCATCCACCATGGGAAGTCAAACCTCGTATTTTAGCATTACAAGTCCGTAAACTTACAACTGACCAGTTAGGGAATCATTTAATTGAAAGAATATTCCATTAGCAATAAATATAGAGGTAATCAGTCATTGCTAATTTTGGTTATCATTCGTCATTAAATGACCAAAAGAAAGTCAAAGCACATTGTAAAAGCATATTTCCTAAAAACGAAAAGTCAGCATTTCGTTCCATCGAGTTCACTGGATCAGCGTTCGTTAACCGGATCGCGACCCAAAATTTGATTGTCAGAAAGTTGGGAAAGGTTGCGAACAGAAATACATAATAGTTTATTTAAAAGTATAGAGTAAGCCTAAACCACGTGTTTTTTTTTGCACTAGAGCTACTTACTGGGTCGCGACTAGCCATCAGTGTTTACAGATGGATCCTTAGTCAAAAAGGGAAAAAGGCAGACATCCACTGGACTAAACCTCAGCTAATGACACAATTCTACGAAATTCGTTTTTTTCGCGTTTTGTTGTTGTTGTTTGAAAAAAATAAGAAAAAAAATAAGCGACAACAAAAGCGGGATCAGAACATGAGCTTGGGCTTACTTCGCAGTTGCTTTTACCCAACACACAAAGTCGCGGCTTCAAATCCCAACTACTTTCAGGTTTCGTTTCTTCAGGGAGAAAAAAAAAACTTTAACTTTGACAACAGGATCAAGTAACGTATTTATTGATAACCGTAATAAAACCTAGATGTAATAAGCTTTGCTAGAACAAACTGAAATTTCTAATAACATTTTATTAACTTTCAAGAAACAAATAATATTTTATGATTATTTGTACAATTACAGTTTCTGAGGTGGAACTTGTTACCCATAATATTCAAATCGTCTCTCTTAACCCTATTTATTTATAACTTTAACCCAAAACACGTCTATACATGGAACGTTTGAAACAAAGTAAACTAATACTTCTTGTTTACAATAATAATAAATTAAAACAGTTCGAAACAACGATTGCCTAGTTGCCCTCTGTGCAATTCTCGCTATTTTATCGATATCTTTACTATAGTTAAAATATTAAAACTAAAAACACTGCCTTAAATTAGTCTTGACTAGATCCGTGATAACACTTAAGTTGTTTATAATCTGTAAATTACTTTTTAACCCTCATTAGGAACATAAATAACTCACGTGTTGTGAAGAAGACAAATTTGCTTTATCTATCATTCCTGTCAACAGATAGCACCACATTCGGAAAGTAAACCTATTCATGTTTGTTACTATTGTGTGTATCGAAAAACATCAACCTTTTATTTTTTAAATATATTTATCTATATATTTATTAGAGTATCGTGAAATACATCTAAAACGTAGTACAAAACATGCTTGACTGCCTCTTTGTAATACACGTTAACCCAAACACACGTTTACCGGATGCTTTGTATTCAACGATTCAACTGACAATTAAATACATTTTCAACGAGTGCTACAAAACATTACGTGAACGTACGATAATAAACGTTTCGAGCTGTACTGTCATCTTTAAACCATTTAAGCATGTTTTATTAATCAGAAAACGCCGTGATGGTCATAAACTAGGAAGTTACATTCTGAAATAATAGAATTAATAATATTACCCAGGAAATAATTTCAGCCCTGCTATAGCTCTAGGGCTTAACAAAATGACTTTTAGCATTGGAACTCCTGGGAATACACCTCTGCATACCCACAAGATTTTGTTGAAATTTATCAAATTATTATGAGGTTTTTCCTAAGTGTTTAAACAGAACTATAAGGTTTGAAAGGTATTTTACAAATCGATTTGGCCCGGCATGGCAAGGTGGTTAGGGCACTCGACTCGCAATCTGCGGTTTGCGGGTTCGAATCCCCACCAAATATGCTCGCCCTTTCAGCCGTGGGGGCGTTATAATGTGACAGTCAATCCCACTATTCGTTGGCAAAAGAGTAGCCCAAGAGTGGCGGTGGGTGGTGATGACTAGATGCCTTCCCTCTGGTCTTACACTGCTAAATTAGGGACGGCTAGCGCAAATAGCCCTCGTGTAGCTTTGCGCGAAATTCAAAAACAAAACAAATCTATTAAGGATGATACAGAAAAGTCTATTTAACATTCCAAAAATATATGAAATAGTATTTATTTTAGGATAGGTTCTCATATACTAAAACAATTCGGGAAATCTCTACAAGAATAGTTTCACTATAACTTTCATTACTTTCACGGTGTTTATAGTTCAGTTGTTGCTTTTCTTGTATTAATATTCTTCCAATCTTCCAAGAGATAAAAACAATTACCGCACTTTCGAGAGTAAGGAAGAGTAACCATTATTACCACTTCTGTTCATTACACTACCCAGTAACCATCTAACGTAAAGTATTTAGATCGGTTAATGCTATTTATTCATTTGATTTCTTACGGTTATTTCTAATGATACCAGCAGATTTCTCAACAAGTCTAGAATACACACAACATTAAATTAAGACCGACCTAAAAGTATTAATCTGGATAAATAAACGTATATAGAGGTTAACATCAATTTATTATCAGTATCATTTTCAGTAAGTTTTGCATTTTACGTTTTTCAGTTTAGTCAAAAAAAAATAATCGGACTCAACTACTTAAATATAACTTTCACTTGGTGGCGCCACCATATACGCTGAAACTGTAGAAAGTCAAATAGAAAATCCCAAGACACAAATAAAGTGAGAGAGTTTGAACCTCCCAGCTTCGGGGACAAGTATCTTCGAAGAAGCCAGGGGCGCTTGTTATTGTACATCATACGGTTAAGTTTCATACGACGGATAACCTGTTAGACCTCGACTCAAACCGGTTATAATTAAAAGGGGTTAAACTGAATAAGCTTTTATCTAACAGGAGGAGGCAGCATAAAGATAACTAGTCGGCACCAGGTAATCATATGTTTGGAAATGCAGGTTTAACTGCCGAAAAAGAAGGAACGGACTCGTAATAACCTGCCATACGCGGCGTGGAGAGTGACAGTGGATCAATCATAACAGAGTGAAATCAGTTTGGTAAGGCTCCACCAAACGTTTTTTTATTTTTCCTTCCTCTTGTGAAATATGAATATTAAACTTTTTGATGTTGAAGAGAAAAATTGATTATTATTTATAAATGCCATCGCTTTCTTCTGATTCGTTAAAACAAATTCATTACTTTGTTATTTCAAACACGAGAGTATCTTTAAAATCACGAAAACTAGATAATACTATGAAAGTTAACACTGCATATATAAGACAAACATTTTTGAAATTACTGTAAAAAAATGTTGTATTGAAACGAATTTATAAATTTGAAAAGAAAAGTTTAAAACATTCAATGTAGAGAGTAAACATAATAAGCATAAACATCAAATGTCTATGGCCTGGCCACGTGGTTTGGGCGCTCGACTCGCAATCTTAGAGGTCGCGGGTTCGAATCCCTGTCCTACAAAACATGCTCGCTCTTTCAGCCGTGACGGTCAATCCCATTATTCGTTAGTAAAAGAGTACCCCAAAAGTTGGCGGTGGGTGGTGATAACTAGCTGCCTTCCCACAAGTCTTTCACTGCTAAATTAGGGACGGCTAGCGCACATAGGCCTCATGTAGCTTTGCGCGAAATTCAAAACAAACAAATCAGTTTCCGTATTTTTCGGTGTATAAGACGCACTTTTTTACCCCAAAATTTGATGTCA